CAGAGAGCCCAATGCGGGGCTGGATCCCAGGACCTTGGGAATCATGACCTGAGCCAAAGGCAGAGGCTTTAACCCACTGAGCCACCCAGATGCCCCAAGAGAGAAGTATAGATTTTTTAAAGACACTTAGAATCCCTATCAACCAACTTCAACATATAGCTCTTAGCTGGACTCACATTCAAACTGTACAAAACAAATGAGAGGATGGGATACATTTGATGATAGTGAGAAATCACTGTTAATTTTTTAGGTATGATAATTATATTTACATTAGAAAAATAAGAGCCCTTTTTTTACAGACAGATACTGAAATACATACAAATAACATATGCTATCCTATTTGGGATTTGCTTCTTAAGACATCAGGTAGGGAGAGTTGGTGAATATAATTAAGATTGGCCATGAGGGAAAAAAAAAGACTGGCCATGAGATAATAGGTTTTGAAGCTGGATATAAGGTGCATTATATCCTTCCCTCCCCTGCTAAATATGTTTGAAAGTGTCCATAATTAAAATTCAAAGTGAACAATTTTAAAAGATATTCTCGATACTGTGTTTCTTCCCCCAAATCTGGTCATTGTGACCTGGGAATACATTCAGTGCTGTTTAGCAAGTCAATGATGAACCTAAGCTGAACATACTGCTTTAGCCACCGGAGGGATATAAAAGAAATTAAGTGTTCCAGCCCTTGTAAAAAATCTTTTTCAACTGAAGATTTACAACCAAGGAACAATGAGACATACAATTAATAGAACAAACCAATATAAAGGGAAATGCCATATGGAATATTACTATCCAAACACAAGGTATGATGACAAAGTGCTATGGTGGGTGAGAATCAATAAATTTAAACTTGAATGAAATTAACATTTCACACCCAGTATAATAGCTAAAATAAAAATGATGGACATAACTACAAGTTAACTAGGGTACAGAGCAGCTGGAATGCTTATTCATTGCAAGTGGGAATGTAAAATGGCACAACCCCTTACAGAACTGTTTGGCAGTTTCTTTTAAACTTACATATATTTACCACATGACCCAGTAATTCCACTAATAGGTATTTATTGAAAGGAAATGAAAACCTATGTCTACAAAAAGACTTGTATAGGGCACCTGGGTGCCTCAGTTGGTTAAGTGTCTGCCTTTGGCTCAGGTCATGATCTCAAGGTCCTGGGATCGAGCCCACTCTGGGCTCCCTGCTCAGCGGGGAGCCTGCTTCTCTCTCTACCTCTGCCACTCTCTCTGCTCATTCTCTCTCTCAAATAAATAAAATCTAAAAAAAAAAAAAAAAAAAAAAGATTTCTATAACAGTGTTCATAGAAGCCTTCTTCAAAATAGCCAGAAACTGGTAACAGCCCAAACATCCATCAATAGAAGAATGAATCAACAAATTGTGATATAGTCATCCAATGTAATCATACACAGTAATAAGGAACTACACAGATGACAATAAACACAATTCTGTGTGGAAGAAACCAGACACAAAATTATATATTCTGTAACTCCATTTATATGAAATTTGAAAACAAGCAAAACTAACTTAGGGAATTTTCATAGGATGGGGATGAAAACGTTCTAGATCTTGATGCTGGATGTGGGGTCAGGGAGTACTATGATGAAAAAGAAATTTAAAGAACACTATGTACGCTATGATTTTTTGTATGCCATGTCTCAAGCTTAGACACTTCAAGCATAGACTCTAAATGTTAGGGGGGTACATGGTAGGAAAACCTGGTTGGAGGTATTATAGAGAAATAAAGATATCAGTGAAGGAGACCCTACACCAGAAAAAGGGTAATGGGAATGGAAAGAAAATCAAGCAAAAAAGAAGTTATCAAAGGAAAAATCAGGTTCAAAAGTGAACAACGACTCTAAAGAACTGGGTTACAGATACCAGGTAGATTGATGGGATCGGTATATAAGATGAATACTGGGAAGATGGCCTAATGCAGAAAATGATGTATTTAATTTTAAAAAGACAGAGATAAGGCATCATAAGAAGATTTAAATCAGGAGAGATTTTGTTGTACAGGACTGCAGAAAGAGATATGGAAAAAGTCAGCTACATGGAGATTACAGCTGAAGAATTCACAAACAGACCCTGATAATAAAACCTATCATTTGTATAGTAACAGAAGAGCTAACTAATTGCTTTCCCACGTAGTTAGCATGATAAAACAATGCAGCCGACAAAAGAGGGAAAGATGAAGGACATAGAAACCTGTATGCAGAAGCACAAAAGAAACTGTTTCAGTAAAGGAGACTGACAAATTTAGAGAAATGCTGAACGAAAATGGATTCAAAGAGACAAAATCTAGAACCTTGCTAGTCAGTGTAGTCCCCAGACAAGCAGCATAAACATCACCTAGGAGCATGTTAGAAATTCAGAATCTCAGGTCTTATCCCAGGCTCACGGAATTAGAACCTGCATAACAAGATCCCCAGGTGATTCTTAGCACTTTCAAATTGAGAAGCCCAACCACAACACAGTATTTTAAAATTTATTTTTATTATTATTTTTTAAGATTTTATTTATTTATTGACAGAGAGAGACAGTGAGAGAGGGAACACGAGCAAGGGGAGTGGGAGAGGGAGAAGCAGGCTTCCCGCCGACCAGGGAGCCTGATGCGGGGCTCAATCCAAGCACCTTGGGATTACCTCCCAAGCGGAAGGCAGTCACTTAACGACTGAGCCACCCAGGCACCCCAACACAGTTATTTTTTTAAACTGCAGGTCTCAACCCATCAGTAGGTTATGAAATCGACTTAGAACAGAACTAGAAATACCAGAGCATATCACACATGGTAAGTTTTTGTTTTTATGGGACACGAGGTAAACTTTTTTTAGTGTAGGGTGAGGGTTCTTTTGTTGTTGTTTGTTTTTTTAAGTTCACAAAACCCAGCACACCTGGACAGCTCAGTCAGTTAAGCATCTGCCTTTGGGTTAGGCCATGATGTCTGGGTCCCGGGATGGAGCCCCAAGTCTGTCACCCTGCTCCACAAGAAGCCTGCTTCTCCCTCTGCCCCTACCCCTGCTTGTGCTTGTGCTCTCTCTCTCAAGTAAAATCTTTTTTTAAAACGATAAGTTTACAAAATCCTGAACACAAGTACAGTAAAACTTTTTTTTTTACTAAGAAGATGTGAGAATCCATATCCAAAAGCATTCCAGAGTTTCTCAGACATCTTGGTGTGAATCTACCAAGATTCACACCAAGAAATACATATGTACTAATAACACATACATGTGTTTAATACATATAAAGTGAAAACAAAAATTTCGTGAAACAATACCCTGATATTTCTATTTTCTTTCTTTTGATGTTGCTTGTGACCCACTCAATTGATTTTACATTAGTGACTCTTTTAGTCACTACTCAAAAGTTTGAAGACCCATGATTTTTAACACGCTCTTTGGCCTCAAACCTCAGCTAGGAAGTGGTTTGGAAAGACTGAAGAGGTTAAGAATGGCTGTTAAGCATGGTAAACACACTGATGAAATAACAGCAAACTTACTCAGCAGTAAAAAGGCCAAACGGATGTTGCACTGCGTCAATTTTTAGTCTCTGTCTCCCTGTCCGAAGGTAGGAAAGAAGCAACAGCATATAGGACTAATGAGGGTTGGGAACTGGTGAAGAACCACGGGAGATGGAGATGAAGGAAACGCTGCTAGTACCAAGAACCAGGGCACGGATAACTAACCTGCCTCAGCCAAGAAAGTGAGGCTGGTCCAGGAGGCCCGGCTCAGAAAGGCAGGCGCTGACTGAACACACTCCCAGCTTTGGTTCCTGAAGGCCGGCTGAGATACCACATTGGCGACAACCAGCAAAGGCTTACAATATAGCTCCTGAGAGGCCCCCGGTTCCCCAGGCTAACGTTTTTGTGCTGTGCTTGCTTAGAAGCAGCTGCATTAGGGGCTGGGAGAAGCAGGTAAGGAGGGTAATGCAGAATGGAGATTACAGCTTATTCCAAGAATCCGAGAAAGGGAGCCAAGCTACTGCTTGGCCTTCTCTATGACCGCGGGGGTTCGAGTACACCTAGACCCCGGACAAAGGCGACCTCCTTCTGGGTCATGGCACAGTCCTGGTAGAGAGAGCAAGACCCGCAGAAGCCCCGAGGTCGTCAAGCCGGGCCAGCCCCCAGCCCTCAATGCCCCCTTGGGCGCGGGGGTGGGGGGGGGGGGACCTACTTCCCATCACCCCTCGCGCGGAGCCCTGAGGCTGTCAGCACCCTCCAGGCTCGGGAAAGGCGTGGTTTTCCTTCCCCGCTTCTCCCGCAAGGCACAGCGGCCAGCCCAGTACCACAGCGTCTTGGCAAGGCTGGAGGTGCTCCCACCTTCACTTTAATTAGCATCTTCTTCCCAGTTTGGAGCTGCACACAGATACTTTGCTGCTTCTACCGCTGCGGTCGCCGCTGTCGCTCCCCAGCAATCTGCTTGCGGGAGTCACTTCTGCTTCCGGGTCACTGCCTGGCTCCACCCCCCCTCCCCACCCCCACCGTTTCCACCGGGTTCTCGAAAGGCTCAGGAATGCTCCCGCGTTTCGTTTGGGTGGCGTCGTAAATAAAAAGAAGGCGGAGGTTTAGTTACAGCAGAGATGACGCCTCCGCGATTCTTAGAGTTTCTGGTAAGTCGGGGCTTGCGAAGCGGGGTCGGAACGAACTACTTCTCCCATCATGCCAGGGGAGAGCCCCGCGCGTTCCACCCTGGGAGTCGTAGGCTTCCGCCCCTCGGATCCAACGGCAATCTCCGTGTGTGAACCCTGTTACCCAGAAGGCCTCGCAAGACCGCGGCGGAAACTGGGATTTCCCTGTTTCTCCTTTTCCCCCCAGCAATTGGTGGAACCTGTTGGTGTGGCCCACAAGGCTCAGCGGGGCTGCACGAGGCTAGTTGCTAAGCAAGGGGTACTGTGGTCAACTGCCACCTGAGCCACGGCGACAGGAAGTGAGTACCCCTATTCCGGAAACTAGTTATGGGAATATCCCCCATTCCTACTCACCCCCAAATCGGCCTCTTACCCTAAGTGGCTCTTTGCAAGGATGGGAGAAGGAAGAGCAGTGGGGTAAGGAATGCAAATTTTGGGGGTCCTTCACGACTCCATCGCAGTTCTTCTCCCCATTAAATAGTACCTGGGATGGAGATACGTAGAGTAATTGCAACCATGGGATGGATCAGAGGTGACAGTCTTCAGGGACCATGCGTCAGCCAATGCCCGACCTTCCATAATTTAAGCAAGGAGAGAGATGGGCACAGCCGTTAGATCTAACAGGGCATATCTCCCACGGGTAGATTGGTTCGGATCTCTCCACCTGACTTTTCCTACCTCCAGTTCCCAGATTTGTTGCTACCCCAGGGTCCCCGCCATGCCTCACATCGACAGTGACATCAAACTGGACTTCAAAGATGTTTTGTTGAGGCCCAAACGCAGTACCCTTAAGTCTCGAAGTGAGGTGAGCCTGCTTTCCAAGCTCCTGGTGGGCCAGGACCGAGACAGATTTCTGGTTCTTGTCCTCATACAATACTCTTTTATTTGATGAATGAAATGCATTTTCCTGTTCATATCTCAGGTAGATCTCACAAGATCCTTTTCATTTCGGAACTCAAAGCAGATGTACACTGGGATCCCCATCATTGCTGCCAATATGGATACTGTGGGCACCTTTGAGATGGCCAAGGTTCTCTGTAAGGTAGGGCTTCCCTTATGCAGGTTTTCCTACTGGTGACCAGTTGTGTGAGCTGACTGCAGACATAATTTGCAAACTAACCACCGCCCCCTCCCCCCGGCCATCAGCTGTGTGGCTGGTAACAGTCAGGATGTTCCAATTTACTATTTAATCCATTTTCTCCAATACTAATGCCCTTACCTGATAAGTTCAAAGGCACATCTGAATTAGTAAGATTCAAAGCTAAGTTTTACCCCATTTTTCTGATATATAAACATAACTTCCTTTTCTCCCATCCAGCAGTTTATACACCCTGCCAACTCTTCCACCTCCCAGGTCATCCCTTCCAAATCACATTCATCCCTCCCATTATGCCATTGGTCACGACACTGAATACCTACTGTTTTAGTCTAGAAACTAAATATAGCGTGAGCATTCAAAAATTCCTAGCTAGAAGATCCTGGAAAAGTAGCTTATTGATTTTCTTTCATGTCTGCTACCCTTTTTTATTTTTTTAATCTTCCTCTTCTTTAAGTCCTAGGTTTCTGGGAATTTCTGGGATGTGCCCAAAATGGAATGTTTTTCTTATGCACAGGTTATTGTTCACTTTGAAAACAGAAGATGCTGCTCCCATCCGTAATATTACCTTCCTCTGTACTTGTAGCTGAGAAGGTAGATAGTTAATCTGGGCACTCAAAAAACATACACATTCTTCTGGTTAATCCATGTAGCCCTGGTTGATGGATTTTGCTGCTGCTTGTGGCTCTGTTAGCCTTAATGACTGCATCTCCCTTTCTCTATTTTCAGTCACTGTAAGTCTCTGTGGAATGTTTTTTGTCATTTCTCTGAGTTTGATAGTTATACAGTTTTAGTACTTTATTGCTGTTGCCATTTACCAACTGCTTAGGAATCTTCTTCTTGTCCATGGTCCACCTGCTCTGCCCAGCAGAGTTGAGGAATAGTGAATCTGATTTCAGCATTAACAAACGTGCTGAAATATGTGGCCCTTGTGGAGACTGTCTTAATACTTTGTGTTGAGATTGGCTTTTCAGTACTACTGATGGGTGCTGAAGAAATCAGATTCTAGAGATAGGGCCAAGTTTCACAGTAGTAATAAGGTTGGATACACTCATCTTTTTCTAGATCTCTAGCATGGTATGTAATTGGATGTGCCTATCATGTTCCACTATACCAGTACATCTCCAAGGTCTACTGACCTCATGGAATGATTTTTCTTTGTGTATCAACTGATGGCAGAGTGTTGTTGAGGAAGTAGAACTCAATACCAGCTTTAGCTAGATGGTGTTGATGAGTGAGTATAGCAATACCACTTCCTTACTGCTGATACATGACTTCCTTGGATTTCTTGTCACTTGCAATATTTGTGCTATCTCTGTCAACTTTCTTTTGTCTATTTGCATGTCTGCACCTTTAAAGCCCAAGCACTGGGGCACCTGGCTGGCTCGGTCAGTGGGGCACGTGACTCTTGATCTCAGGGTTGTGAGTTCAAGCCTCACATTGGGGGGTAGAGATTACTTAAAAATCTTTTAAATAAATAAATAGATAAATAAATAAATACGGCACAGGCACCAGCATTTACAGTGGCCTCTGAATGCCTTTCTCAAAGTATTGGGATATTGTTTTGCAACTTGTTGACCCTAGGGAATACAAGTCTGATGAGTTCACTGTATCCTTGAACTTGGTTGACTGAACTAGATGGAATGAAATGGACTTTTTAGGTTGGTCTGTGTCTCCAAAAAATGTGTCCTTTATTCCAGTGGAGATGGAGAAAGAATGGGGTAGCACCTTATTAGCTCCACTGAGGCCTTACCTTTTGTGAGCATTTAGACTCACTGAATTATTGCTCCTAAGTAGACCAGAAGATACCCCAAAATAGGTGAGTTCAGTACTAGTTTACCATTGGGGGAGGGGCCGAGTCAGTGCAGGCAGACACTGGCTCCGTACAACGTCATGGCTCTTTGTTGTCTGCTGCTTGTCCTACTGCACCAACATCTTGTCTTTGTCACCTTTTAAGTCAGAAGCCCTTACATGCTGGTAAGTGAAATCCACTCCAGGTGACTTTGTACCTGACCTGTTGGAGCATTGGGCAAGCACTGGCTTATGGTAAAGCCCTACTGGTATTTGTAGAGAGAAAAATGGTTAAACTAAAATCCCAGCTCAACCTGTGGTTTCTTTCAAGTTGCTTTCCAAAGCTTCGTCCTTTTTCTCCCTCAGAATACTAAAAAGATCTGTTTCTAGCAAAAGAGACACTAGTATAGTTCTCTTCTTTTTGATGGCTTTTTCTTCTCCCCAGTTCTCCCTCTTCACAGCTATCCATAAACATTACAGCCTCCAGCAGTGGAAAGAGTTTGCTAGCCAGAATCCCGAGTGTCTTGAGGTAATGCTGGTCCTCCCCTGATCCCTTCCTTATCCCAGTTTTCCATGCATCTCTTCTGGCTTCCTGGGGACCAACCCTCCCCTTCCCAGCCCCACTGGCTGCTCACTGGGTCACTTGTGACATGCCACTGGCCCTGTCTCTCTCAAGCATCTGGCGGCAAGCTCAGGCACAGGCTCTTCGGACTTTGAACAGCTGGAACAGATCCTGGAAGCTATTCCCCAGGTGAAATATATATGCCTGGACGTGGCAAACGGCTACTCAGAACACTTTGTTGAGTTTGTAAAGGACGTGCGGAAGCGCTTCCCTGAGCACACCATTATGGTACGTTTCTAGTGCCTGTGGCTGGTATGTTCCTCTTCCTTCCACTCTCCTGACACTCCACTTTGTTATGTCAATTCATTTCTCTTCTGCTGCATTATGATTTTCCTAGCCCACTGACTCACGTCACTGGGCAATAATCCACGGTTCCAGGCTTAAGAAGTTTAGATTGGCTAGTGCAGTTAGCTCTGTCCCTTGACCCAGGCCTTGTGCATACCTACGGTACATATTCATCTGCCCACTGAGGTGCACTAGAATCACATTAAAGGGGTCACATGAAAGCGTTTTATTTGTTTACAAGCTTAGAGGAGTGATGACAAGGCCGCTTTTTCTCTGCAGCATCAAGGGGTCTCTCTGTACTGTCCATCGGAAGTAAATACAGCTGTGCAGGTGGCCATTTAGCTTATAGTACCGCATCTCCCCCTTTCTCTGAAGCCAGAAATTGTATGATGTAACGGCTTAAGGACAGGATATGTTGGGGTCTCTTGGCAAGGATGGGAAGATACATCAGCTCTGGCCTTGGTCCAGTTGGACCCCAGCTTTATCCTAGTGCAACAGTGATCCTGGCCACCACCCCCTTACCTCATCTTGGGAAGTAGAGTCCTTGCCCAGTAGAGGAAACCTAGGTACCCCTCTTTGTATTAACGCTGGAAGGTCACAGTCCAGGTATGCTGTGTGTGAGAGCGCGCCACCTCCTCTCTGGTTTCCGACCCTAAGAGTGCCCGGTTTTGTGCCTCAGGCAGGGAATGTGGTAACGGGAGAGATGGTGGAAGAGCTGATCCTCTCTGGGGCTGACATCATCAAAGTGGGAATTGGCCCAGGTAAGCTGCTTTACTGGGAGCCTCGGGCTACTGCTCCAGTGGCACACGCCACGGGAGCACTTCACTGTTCCCGTGACGTTCTTCTCAGGCTCCGTGTGCACCACCCGCAAGAAAACCGGAGTGGGGTATCCACAGCTCAGTGCCGTGATGGAGTGTGCAGACGCTGCTCATGGCCTCAAAGGCCACATCATCTCAGTAAGGGCCACAGGCAGGGGAGGGGAGGAGGCTGCCACACCGCTGTGTTTCCTGCTGTGTGGAAACTGTGGTAGCAGTGGATCAGGACTCCTGGGTTCCTGTCAGCTTGGAGGTGGGCCGCGGGGACATCACTCAGAGTGCTTGGGCAGTCCGTGTTCTCTCTTCACAGTGCTCCTTACTTTGCAGGATGGAGGCTGCAGCTGTCCTGGGGATGTGGCCAAGGCTTTCGGTAAGGATGCTAGGAGAGCAGGGAGGGTCCTGTAGAAGAGGATAGGTCACCTCTGAGGGTCAAGGATCAGGCTTGGAAAGGCTGAGAAAGCCATTCACATTCTTTCACAATATGAACTAGTGACCCTGAAGCTGTGGTGTCACTGGGGGCAAGGAAGCAAGGGAATCCTGAGACTCTGGTATCGACTGCCCAAGTGTAGGCCACGGCTATCTGTAATATCCCCTGTACTGTTGGACTAAAGTTAGAGACCTTTGCCCTTGGGACACTTGGAATGAGTCTTGTTTAGCTGCACACAATGAAAAGAGAAGACCAGAAAGAAAAAAAAAAAAAAAAGCAGAAGCCAGGCAAGGAATCTCCAGAGGCTCTTTGTAAATTCTTGAAGAAATCAGGCCCACTAAGGTATAGAGGCCAGAGCAGAGCAGGCCTGTGTGGGTTGTGGGACAGCTAGGGAAACAAAGGACTGAGAATTTGGCGTGAGTTGCTTCTGAGGGTGGGCATGTGGGCCACATTTAATTCATTCCCCGCCTTGTTGACACTGGCAGGGGCAGGAGCTGACTTTGTGATGCTGGGTGGCATGCTGGCGGGGCACAGTGAGTCAGGCGGTGAGCTCATCGAGAGGGATGGCAGGAAGTACAAGCTCTTCTATGGGATGAGTTCTGAAATGGCCATGAAGAAGTATGCCGGGGGCGTGGCTGAGTACAGGTGGGTGCAACAGAGCCAGGAGCCGAGGGTTTCTGGAAAGCGTGACTAAGTAGGGTGGTGGCAGAGCTGCTGGCTGTTGGGAGAGGCACATGCGGTTCTGGGAGGAAAAGTGGTGAACTGGGGCTCAATGCCAGACAGCAGGGGAGAGCCATCACTGGGCTTAAGGATTCCAAAAGGAAAGAGTAAGAAGGTTTTTCCTCCTCAAAGGGCCTCAGAGGGAAAGACGGTGGTGGTCCCCTTTAAAGGGGACGTGGAACATACCGTCCGAGACATCCTTGGAGGCCTCCGCTCCACATGCACCTACGTGGGAGCAGCTAAACTGAAGGAATTGAGCCGGAGAACCACCTTCATCCGGGTCACCCAACAGGTGAATCCAATCTTCAATGATGAGAGCTAGACCTGAGCAGCTGTGCCCTCTCAAGGCGCTAGCTCAAGAGGGCTCCTCACCCATCTCAGCCACTGTGGCTATTTCTTACTCAGTCAATTCCTGTTGCCTCACTCCTGAGGGCTACCGCAGTAATACCGTACTCTGTACCCACAGAATGCCCAGGGCTCTCACTGGGGAGGAAGCAAGGCAGGCAGGCTGAGAAAATGAAGTAAGACAGTCAGTCAAGTGTGAATCTGGGGACCCAGCATCCCGAGAATTATTAAAAGGAAAAGATGCTGATTCCTACCTAAGTGTTTAATGGCCTTGGTCTGGAAGAGGGAGGCTCTTGAAATCATGTTTTATTAATGAGCTTCATTAAATAGGATCTCTGAATACCTAAAAAGCCCAAAAGTGTTGCCATATTTTAAATATCTCAATAAAGAGATCCCAAGGACTTTGAAGAGATTCTGGATCTTTCTGCACAAGACTGGCATCTGGGTGCTGCTCCAGGGTAAGTGGAAGTGGAGTTGGCACTGACCCAGTTGAGCCAAGGACAGGAAGTACTTTTTCCATGAAGTATCTCCATTGCAGTGCCACCACCTCCAGGTAACCCGATGCCATTAGAGTTTACGAAGTACATTCTGGCATCAGGACACACAGATATTTTTAGCATAGCAAAGGGAAACTTCCCTTCCAGACTGTCAACCTTTCTTGGCACACATGAACATTTTCCAGGGGAAGTAAAAAGGCAAAGGGATTCCTCCAGTCCTGGTGAAGCCAGTTCTAAGGAATGACCTACATTGACTTGACATAAGCCTTGATTTCCCTCCCTCACACCAAGACAGTGTTTTAACAAATCCAAATTTTAATTAACAAGGATTACAAAGTAATTTTAGCAAGGTTGTCAGGTCACCCAAGGCCAGGCTTCTGCTTTATTCCCACTAAACTGTGTAGAACTGAGGAACTCCTTCCTCAGGCGGAGTGCAGAGGGAATTCCAGTCCTATCCTAAGTGTCCAGACCTGTCTCTACTGTCAGGGAAGGGACAGACATGGCCCTGGGGCCAGAAGTGGGGAGATACTCATAGAAGGTGGGGATCAAGGTGTCAAACTTTGTCTTCTGATAGTTTTCCAGAGACTCCTGCAGAGAAGGGAGCAGGGAGATGCTATCATCATCATCTCATTCCCTTAGACCTCCATATTCTGGAGCATGTGGATTTCTGTCTCATTCTGCTCAGCCCCTTCCCCAGCTTTCTGTTCCTTCCTACTCACCCTTCCTTCCTTCTGGCCATTTTCTTCTTCATCAGAGTCCAAAACCAAGTCCCCTATGGTAATGACAGAGCTGCACAGAGATGGAGGACACACTGCAGAACGAAACAGAATCACAGTACCCATCTAGGCGAACAGGCCCTCAAGACTCCGCGAGAGAGGAAACTGTCTAGCCCGGTCTGACTCAGGATACTTACATGGCTTCCTGGTCCTAGGAGGGGATAATGACAGTCTCAGGGGGTCCATGGGGCAAACCAAGCAATTCCTGCATTGGGAGCAAGCAAAAAAGATAAGGTGAGGGGAAAGCAGGCCAAAAAATGTCCTGCTAGGAGGGAGAAGCAACTGTTCCACTCACTCTTCTTGCTCTGAAGCAAACACCTCAACTGGATTCTCTTTCAAAGCCCTTCCCCCCAGCGGCTGGGGTGGACTCTTTGGCTTTCCAGTGGAAGCTGCTCTCATGCCCACAGCATCTGCTGGATCTGCCATGTTTGTCCCATGTTCTTCCCTGTTCTCAGGCTCAGATATGACTTGGGGTGGTGAGCCCAGATTCCTAAAGGGGAACAGCATGACTGTGGGGCGCTCCTTATGGCCTCCCTTAGTGGATGCCCATCGGGACTGGATTCTTCGCCGGCCTAGAGGTGCCAGATTGAAGTGGTGACCAGCCTTAGGTTCTGGGTCCTTCCTGGAGGCTGGTCCTCGAGGGAGGTATGGGCCAGAACTGGCTTCTGGCAAAGGATCGTGAAGTGCTAGTTTTGGTTGCCGAGGATTCTGCTCCGTGGGCTCTGTTGTGCTCACCGAATCGTTAATGGAGCACTCTGAAAAAGAAAACGAAGCTCCTCAGAACAGACAGAAACACAACTCCGTCTAGTTTCTTACAGCTCAGGTCCATGTAACCCTTCTGACAGCCCATCTCAAAAGGTCTCAGGCCGAACAATCCACCCCCAAGTTCCTAGTTCTCCCAGAGGGTCCTCATACCTGGAAGTGGCCACCCCATGTCCACAGCATACTGGCTCAAGACAGAAGAAGTAGCGATAGAAACTCCAGGCTGCATCCAACTGACCACATCCTGAAGCTGTGGGCAGAGGGAAAGAGGCATGAAGACCACAGTCCTTGATACAGCCATCCCCCACTCTGCCCTTACCTTATCCCATCAAAACCTGCTGTGTCTGCAATGCAGGCAGGGCTTTCTCTAGCTGACACAAATATTCAAAGAACAGCTTTTCCATGGCATCCAGAAAGGGTTCCCCATACTCTTGTTCAAGTTCCTGCAGTGAGGAGAAAAGCAGGTCAGAAGAGGACTAGAGCAATTTTAGCCCCATAATAGCTTCCCAACCAGCCAGTCTCACCTGCACCCTGGAAGCCAAGTCCACTGGGGCCTCTGCTAGATGCTTCACCTCTTGGCAAAAGGTCTCCTGCGCCTCCAAGACCTTCCTCAGATCCTGCTTTGTCTGTTGAGGGTAAGGAAAAGGAGACAATTTAGGGTCACTAGGACCCAGTGGCCGGAAGGAGAATCAACTTTGTGGCATCCAGTGTTAACTGGGGTATAGGGCTTATTCCAGAGATTACTCACCGCTTTGGGGTCCCGCACTACAGGTCCAGACTCTGGGAAATGGTGATGCAGGGCATTCAGAACCTGGGCCCACGGCCGGCCCTGCAGGATCAACTCCACCACTACCTGTGAAGGGTACTAAACTCATAATCTCCACTTCGGGGCAAGCGCCCTTTTCCAACGAGTCCCAGTCCCAAGCGGTCAGACCTCCCCAAGTCCCCTCGTATCCCTCCCCTTTCCCATCCTCCAGCTCCTACTATCTCTAATACCTTGGCCTTCAGACCCATACACAGGCGTTCGTGGTGGCGGTAGCGAACTAAACCAGGGGCAGCAATGCGCAGTGATCGCAGAAACTCTAATACACGCGGGAAATGCTCCACGCAGCGACCCCGCACGACTTGCCAGCTAGCGGCGGCGGCGAAGCGCAGAGCCGCGGGACCGGCCTCTGGGGGCGTGGCCATGGCCGCGGGCTCTGCCCCGGGGGCAGGCCCTCTGGATTCCTTCCTCCACGGCGAGGCGTCTCAGCTCCGCCTAGTGGCGAAGCTTCCGGCGGCTCTCAGCGGCTGCGCTGTTTCGGTCTGCGCTGGGTACTTCGCGATGCGATCCCTTCCATAGGCCACCGGAGTCCTGGAGGTGTTCAACGCGAGCTGAAGCCTGAATGCAGAAGCTGGCCAGCTCTAATGGCACCAGGTTCTGTTTTCCACGCCGCCGCCCCCTCAGGCCCGAGGGCTACCTCGCTTCCGGCTCTGCGGCTAGTCTCCCTGCCCCGGAAAAGGGCGGTAATGGAGAGCCAATGGGCTACCGGGCAGGGAGACGTGACGTCGCGTCATAAGGCCACGCCCCAACAGATCGGGCCCCTCCCGCGTCCGCGCTCCCTCGGTCAGTAGCCTCCGTCAGGGCGTTGGGGACTGCTGTTGCAGGGCTTCGTGACCCCTGCCTTTCTTCGCGGAGCCTACAAAGTCGTGTCTTTCTCTAAGGCTGGACTTACGTGTCTGGAAAACGAAGATCATGCCTTTCCCCTCCCCATCATGGGCGCCGCTGATGTACGATTCCCTAAATCCTAGCCTCGAAGCAGCGCCTGCAAAGCCTTGCCCGACGGCTCGCCCTCTTCCGTAAGAATTCAACTGTCCCTTTTGCAAAACAGTAGAGGGCGCCTACCTTTAAAAAAAAAAAATACAAAGTTTGAAAAGCTACATCACGTAGTTAACTTGGTTTTCTCAGGATGATGAGACTGTAGGTAGTTTTTTGTACTTTTCTGTGATTTTTTTTTTTTGTATCATGTGGTTTTAAAACAAATAAAAAATAAGTTTTCCTTTTCGGATTTCTGTTGTGTGCTTACTCCAGCCAGCCCCCTGATGTGATCGACTTGTCTCCTTGTCACCCTTCCTGCTGTCTCCCCTTATTTTCATCACCAAGTACAGAGCCTGGCACACAGTGTATAGTCTTTAAATGTCGGTTGAATTAATTACCCTCCCTGACTACCTTATAGGAATGTAGTGGAACTACCGTTCTTTCGGACCATCTCATTTCCTAGAGGTAGCGCCCCCTGCATCCTTCCTTGACTCACCCAAGATGAAACTTCTCAGGTGATCCACAGGGACCGCTGGACTGAGAACCGGAAGTTATCTTCCCTTTTAAATTCTGCGTTTCCTCCTGGGCTCTGTAGTTTGGTTTGTTTTTTTGTTTTTGTTTTTGTTTTTTTTTTAAGATTTTATTTATTTGAGAGAGAGACAGTGAGAGAGAGCATGAGCAAGGAGAAGGTCAGGGGGAGAAGCAGACTCCCCATGGAGCTGGGAGCCTGATACGGGACTCGATCCCAGGACTCCGGGATTATGACCTGAGCCAAAGGCAGTCGTCCAACCAACTAAGCCACCCAGGCGTCCCTGGGCTCTGTAGTTTTGTGCACAGCGCCTCTCCTCACCTGTGAGTGAGAGACCCAGACCACAGCCCTTAACTCAGTCCTCCTTCCTCTCCACATCTAATTGTCATCAAGTCTAATCAGTTCTACTTCCTCTGGAATTTTACACCCCACCTCATTTTCATTCTCACTCCTCTATCCTATTTCAGGTGTTCCTGTCTCTCACCCTCCCCACACCCAGCCCACCTCCTTTCTAATTTCTTTACCACATTGCTTTCATCATGAATCTTGTGAAATGCAAAGTTGATCATGCCATTGCTAACTGAAAGCTCTCTCTTACTTTCAAAAGAAAGCCCAAACTCTGAAATTGTCTGAAATAGCCCAAACTCTGGCCAAGCTTCTCTTCAGCCATGTTCCTTGCCACTTTGCATGTATGCACCTAGATGCCAGCAAACAGGTTTCATCTTCCAAATATACTGTGCTGTCTTACAGTTCTGTGCCTTGCACATACTGGATGATTCCTCTGTCCTCCTTGCCTCTTGGACTTGATCCTTTCTCATCTTTTGTAGTTCATTTGATAACCACCTCCATAAAGCCCATCAGAGTTTTCTTGGGGTCCTCAGTACATCTTTTTATCACTACCACTGTTGCAGAAGCTATCTTGTAAGGTGATTGTAAGGACTAAATAAATTAGTAGTTATAAAGCACTTGGAATAGTGCTTGGCTCATAGTAAGTACTACGTATGTTTGTATTGTTAATGTTGACAAGTCCGTCACCCCCA